TGGGATCACGTAAGTTATGAAGCTAACTGTCTTAAAAGTATAAATGTGCTATGCTTAGTCGTGTCTGACTCTTTGCGACCCCACGGACTGTAGCCCTCCAGGCTCCTCTGTCCATGGGATTTTCTAGGCAAGGATACTGGAGTGGGTTGCCATGCCCTCCTCCAGGGGATCTTCCCAACCCAGGGATTGAACCCAGGTCTCCCACATTGCAGGTGGATTCTTTACCAGCTGAGCCACAAGGGAAACCCAAGAATACTGGTGTGGGTAGCTTATTCCTTCTCCAGGGGAACTTTCCAACCCAGGAACTGAACCAGGGTTTCCTGCATCTCAGGCCCTGTGAAAATCTTGTATACCATAAAATTCTTGGTAAGCTCATTTACGTTTCTTGTGTAATCGTCTATAAAACAGATGGAATAAACCTATGCAAGCCTTATGTATTTTTTTCATGTTCAGATGACATGTAAATTTCTTTACCCCTTGCTCATCTATGCAGTTAATGTACTCCCACTGTGAAGGATGCTGACATATAAAGGTGTGCTAGATGAGGGTGCTTAAACAGCTAGGGAAAAATTATTAACTCCTCATTCTGTTTTGGCACATCCAAAATGATTAAGTGAAAAATATTAGTCTAACTAAACATTTTATACAGAAAAGAGTAAGCTACTTTTTAGAGCTGCTATATCCTGCTGTATCCTGCTGCTGTATCCTTCTCAGGGCAGGGATTGGCAAACTTTCTCTGTTAAAAAACAAAACAAAACAGATATTAAATATTTTAGGCTTTGCAGGCCACGTAGTCCTTTCCATAACTACACATTTGTATGAATAAAACTGTGGACACTGAAATTTGAATTTATATCAGATTCATATGTCATGAGTATTATTCTTCTCCCAGTTGTTTTCTATCTGAAAATTAAAAAACCTCAATTTGTGGATCATACAAAAATAGGCGTTGGGCCAGATTTGGCCTATGGACTGTAATGTGACAATTCCTGGCCTACTGGCAATGCTACTTCTGCAAGAGCTGAGTGAATTTCACTAAGTCCAAAGGAAAACTCTGTAAAGATGGTCTTGTTTACAAGGTTTTCCCATCCAACCATTCAAAACTTTAGCGATCATCAATATGTCATGATTTTTCACTGCATGTCTGAAAGGTTGTCCCACTTCATCAGCTGACCCACTGAAAACTAGTTGACGATTTTACAGTGACTTTTTCACTTTTCATCAAGAAAAAATATATATAAAATGATTTAGCAATTAGAAGAGAAAACCTGAATGAAAGAAGCACAGCTTCTGGTCTCAGTTTTGAGAATTCAGTTCTTTCACTAGATAAATAACTTGACTGTTTCACATCTCATTTTCTTTGTCTGGAAAGTCAGGATTTCCAGGTGTTGTTACTAAACAGTTACATTAAATGTTAAAGGAGATGGAGGGGAAAATTATGCCTGTATTTTCTGGAATAGCTACATGTTCAGAAAAATGTGTGTTTTTAAATGCCATAACGTAGAACAGAAGAGAGGCATATTTCTGAAGAGGAATCTATTGGGTGATTTATTCTGAACATTTTGAGGTAGAAAAAAAAAATTAAACCCAAGAGTGAGCTCATGCAAACTACAGCACAAAATACACACATGTAAAATTTCACAGTTTCCCTCTGTGCCTACTATTACCAGGAGAGGTTCAGTTTAGGGGTCTGTAAAAATGTTTTCTTCCTTTAAGAATAACTCTCTGAGCCAAGACATCATCAGTTCCAGGCTCAGTCAGCTCCAGTTGAAAGTGTGAATGTTCAGCAAGAGGATATTTTTGAAAGGAGACTGAAAATCTGCTGTGCCAGATACCTGAAACGTTGTTAGGGTATTCAGTGGAAAATTTCATTTCCACATTATAAATAACTGTAGGATATTTTAAGGGATCCAAGACTAGTAACTTCCAAGAGTTGCTTATATTAGCTCCACTGAAATGTGAAAAGAAGGGAGGATGTCCAAGGACAGGCTATAAAGCTGAATTACCGGATATGATTAATTAAAATAAATAATTCAACATTGATTAAATCACCCTTAGAATCCCCAGTCAAAGCACCCAAACATTGAGGCCTGCATATTTTGCTATCCACTAAGTAAAACAAAACAGCAATGAAGAAAGAGGAAAAGCCCCCAAAATGATTACTTAAGTTCAATTGCCCTAGAGGTTCTTATTCAAAAAAGAACCCGCCTGGTCGCCCAAATTCGAAATACTGTTACTTAGCGTCACTACATTTTCTGGTAGTCGCCGGTTCTAAGGATTTCCAGGGAGAAGGACAACCCCAGAGAAGACAGCATAACACCGACTGTGGTATTAATAGTGAAATTTTATCTCCCTTGACCACAGAAATAATCAGCTTCCGTTAACTTCTCTCTTCCTTTGCAGCCCCTACACATTAAAAAAGGCAACAAACCAAATCAGAGATCTTTGATAGACTGAGGTACAACGTGCCCGAAATAAAACTGTCCCGCTGAAAGGCAAAAAAAAAAAAAAAAAAAGAAAGAAAGAAAGAAAGAAAAAGAAAAGTCCTGTATATGAGTTGTGTATGTGTATTTCTGTATCGGCGTGGGGATGTGTGAGCGTGTGTGCCCCAGTGCCTGTGACTAAGTGGAGGCAGGGGTGGGGGGAATAAGGTAGGAAATTAATGCAAGCAATCTGGTCTCTCTTCTGTCTTTTTGAGGGGTAAGCCTGGCTTCCCTTTGCTGGTCCGCCGCGTGCGGCTGGGGAAGACCCGACCCTCGTGCGCGCCGGTGGCGCGGCGGTGTCCAGGGTTAGAGCTCTCCCCTGTGACCGAAAAGATAATTAAAAATCGCACGCGCCGGAGACAGCACCGTTCCTCGCTGCGCATCAAGTCCGTAGTGATAAGTGGGTTCTCACCCCCCGCTGGCGCCCGGGCTCAGAGCCAGTAGTCTGGGGTCGAGGAGTAGGTTGGGCAGGGGGGTGTCCTAGCAGGTGATGCAGAATGAGTCACGCGGGGGCGCGGCGGCTAGGCTCGAATCTGCGGGGGTTTGGGGAGGAGAGGCGGGAACGCGAAGAGAAACTTGGGGAAGGAGAAGTCGGACGAGGAAGGCGTGGAGTTGTCGATGGGGAAAGGGAAGGTAAAAATAAGCCCCAAAGAGGAAAGACGGAGCAGTGTCCCTTGAACCCCATCCTTACCCCCGTGACGGAGCTCGCCTAGCCTGGCCATCCCCGCCCCCGCCTCCGCTCTCACTGTTGGAAGCCCCTTAGTCGAAGGAGCATCTTTTTAGAGGGCATCTCTTTAGTGGTCCCCAAACCAGGCAACTACAGCCCTCCAAGTTCATCTTGCTCTTGAAATAGGCTCAGAGTCCTGGACAGGCACCGGGTCCCCTCTGCCGCGGCCCCCACGCTCTCTCTTCCAGGCCCTTTCAAAGGCGCAGACCCCCCCCTAAGCGCCGGTTGGGCGCGTGGAAGCGATGTTTTAAAAACCAGGAGGGAGGGTCGTGGCAGGTCGCTACCAGGGTGAGAGAGGCGTTTGCGCAGAGCAATAAAAACGCCGATTAATGGGTATGTGAATTGGTTTAAATAAGATGGGGGTGGGGTGGGGATGAGTGATGACTCAACTATCTTCCTGAATACTCCGAAGAGGAGGCACTATAACTTTTCATTTCTTTTATAATGTCACTTATTACTGTGTAGTGTCAGTTACCCTGTTAGGCATCTTTGAAACGTTGGCAACGGATGATTCTTCTTACAGACACGTTTTCAAGCTTTGAGAGGTTTAAAGGAGATTGACAGCCAGGAACTTAGTAGTACAGTTCGAGGAGGGGAAACAGCCCGGTGCCCCCTTCTTAGGGGTGCAATAGCCTCAAGCGGATTTCCCGGCTTCTGCGGGCGCCGCACATTGTTTTATTTGTTTTGAAGGCTCAGAGTTTGAGGCTGGTCGGAGACACCCACGTGCTTCTGACTCTCATCAGCGTAATGATCGCCTTAGCCAGAGTCGTGTCTATATAAACCACAAAAACCTAATCATTAGAAATCCCAGCCTCCAAAAACCACATTTTAGGTAAAACTGCTGCTTTTTTTCTGCGCTCCTTCATCCTCTCGACCACAACTTTTTGGGGGATCCAAAGTCGCTTTTTAAACCCACATTGGGAAATAAATACATAAATAAATAGCCATTGAAACATTTTGAATATTTTATTTTGTACTTTTAATTTTTTTCCCCCGGGACTGGTGGGGGAGAGAGTGAAGACCTTAGACCTAGTTATAGATGCAGAATAGACAATAAAAGTTTGAAATTCATGGAAAACTGCTGGGGTTTTCCCCCAGCAAGGGTTTTTGCAACTTATTTTAATCATCAAGCTGACAGTTTTCCAGTCCTTAAAAAAACTCATTCTTGTTCTCTAGGAACGACTAGTTTGAATATAGAAGAAAAAAGTGTCCAACACCCACTTGAGTTTCTAAAACTATTTTGACAAGTGTCCCCTCCATCCCAATTTTTTGTGTCACTTAAGTGAAAAAAAAAGAAAAAGAAACACACCCAAACCCTGCAAAATCTTTTTTTTCCCTCGGGAGCCGCTCCGGCAGAGGTGGGGGGTGGGGGGGGGGGGAGT